CTGTTGCCTGGGAGGCAAAAAAACCATTGGTAATCGAGGAAATTGAGGTCCATCCACCGAAGCCTCATGAAGTTCGAATTAAAGTAAGATTTTTTAAATTTATTTTGGCAAATCTATACATTTTCAGTGGTGACTGAATTGCTGTTTTAAATTTTTTCCCAATTATCTTATTCTTTTTATTTGGCTATATAAAGTCAGAATTAAATTGAGTGTTTTTTCACTCGATTTGAAGGAACTGCAGGTTTATTTTAGTGACTGGATCACTGTTTGAATTTAATTTGTTTTCACTACTGATTCTAAAATGTTCATTATGACCATTCAGATATAATAATATATTTTAGATTCTATTCACTGCTTTGTGTCACACAGATACCTACACGTTGGATGGATGTGATCCTGAGGGTGTCTTCCCTTGTATCCTTGGGCATGAGGGAGCCGGTGTGGTCGAAAGTGTGGGGGAGGATGTAACGAATGTTAAACCAGGTTCAATTCTGTCTTATGTAAAATCATTTATTAGTGGTGAAGAGACAAGGAAAGTAATACACTTAACTCTGGTTACAGTTTTACGTTTGGGCGTTCTAATTAGTTAAATACTTCTAAAATTAATAGAAGGGTTTTACTGCGTTTACCGGTGTTAAAAAATCCAACTTGGTTTGTTTCACTCTGTCATTTTATTTCTGTACCAAGTTTTGTTTACTCTAAAAGTACCTTTTTACGTAGTATGTTTGAACCTGGGTTTTACTTTAGGTGATCATGTAATACCGTTGTACATACCCCAGTGCAAGGATTGCGAGTTTTGTAGCAATCCAAAGACAAACTTGTGTTCAAAAATTCGGTGAGTATTTTTATTGACGGTCGATTTTTTTACCAGGAGAAGGAAATTGTACTATAATTGCTGTTTAAGTGTAACTCAAGGTAAAGGAGTCATGCCAGATGGAACAAGTCGTTTTTCTTGCAAAGGGAAGACTGTTGCTCATTTTATGGGATGCAGTACCTTCAGTGAATATACGGTTGTTGCCGATATTTCAGTCGTAAAAGTTATTATTTTACTTTAAGACCGTTTTAAAGTTGAAATGGAGACAAGTTATAATATACGTTTTCCTAATGATCCGTGATCAGTTCCACTCTCTCATCTTAATTGAAGGTGCCAGATAATGCCCCCCTTGACAAGGTTTGTCTTCTTGGTTGCGGCATATCTACTGGCTATGGCGCAGTATTAAATACATGTAAGGTTGAGAAGGATAGCAACGTGGCGGTGTGGGGATTAGGTGCTGTCGGTCTCGCAGTAATCATGGGAGCGAAGGAAGTTGGAGCCAAGAAGATTGTGGCTATCGATACAAATGAAAACAAGTTTAAATGCGGTAAATTATATCTGTTATTTAGAAAACAGTAGCTCATACGAGCATATTTTTTTATTTGAGTAAAGAACGGTTTTCGGTTTTTTTTTCAGCCAAGGATTTCGGAGCTACAGAATGCATTAATCCAAAAACTGTGCCTTCGTCTCAGCCGTTTCAGTCATATTTAGTTGATAATTTTGACGGAGGTTTTGACTACACGTTTGAATGCGTTGGAAACGTAAATACAATGGTATTCAGTTTTTTTCCACATAGGAGTTTCTAAGTGACCAGGTGCTCAAACTACCGCTCGTGACTTCTGATTGATTATAGAGTGAGTAGTTAACACTCTATTCCTTTTTTGTAATATGCTTTATTTAGAGACAAGCTCTAGAAGCTGCCCATAAAGGTTGGGGAGTATCATGCATTATTGGAGTTGCAGGGGCTGGCCAAGAGATATCTACTCGACCTTTTCAATTAGTTACTGGAAGGACATGGAAAGGTTCTGCTTTTGGAGGTAAAATTTACCCAATGTTTGGTTATTTTCATAGGCTACTTCTTGTTGAAAATGTGAGGATTGTAAAGAAGCTGTTTCAGGTTGGAAAAGCCGTGATGATGTTCCGAAATTGGTAAATAAATATCTCTCTGGGAAACTGAAACTCGATGAATTTATCACTCATCGTTTCGCCTTTGAGGAGATAAACAAATCTATTGATACTCTTCATCGCGGAGAAAGGTTAGCTGATTTTTATATCTGTGATGGAAAATGGTTTTTTTTCTAGCAAATTATTTCTCCAAAGAGTACCCGATAATAAAGATCTTAAGAGATTTTTGTAATTTTGCTAAGTACTGTGCTGAGAGTTTATTTTCATTTCTTATCTACCGTTCCTGCCTTGTTTTTTAGTTTGCGATCAGTGCTTTCGTACAATGGGAATTGACAATTATCCTGGATTTCCTCATGGCAATGGGCGATCTTTCACAGTTGTCCTTTCTTGTAACTCTGTTATGTAGTTGATTTTGAAGACAAGTTTTTGTTTAATAAAAGGTTTGATTGAGGGCAGTTTCCTGCGAATAACCAAGTGGAAAGTGTGCTGTCGAGACATTGTTTGCTGATGCTAACTTGTATTTGTACGTAGTGAAGTCTAATAATTAAGGTCCAGAAAGAAGTCAGGTTGCAATAGGTATCAGCGAGAATATTTTGTTGCTTGACTGTTAGCTTTTTTAAGATCGTGGCAGAAGCGTAATTTGTGTCCATTAGGATTTAGTTATTCAACAATTAACATTATCGATGAGACTATTAGCGATGTAAGCCTTGAAGAAAATTTGGCTGCAATTTAATGAAACATTTTAAAGAAACAAATCTACTAACTGAAGGAAAATGACTTCAAAGGTGCTTTTTTGAAAAAAAAAAAGATGTTTTTGTCGACTTTTCGCATGTTCTAGTTCTCCTTCAGCGGCTAATATGATCCGTATTTATAAGTTAGTGGAGATAGGCAAAATAACGCTAAAGAAGTGTCAGAAAATAGAATCTTAATGAAATGTCGGCTACAAGGGTAGAAATTGAAGCTGAATTGACGGACGGCACCGTTCAAAATACTGATCACATGGTTCTGACTAGAGAATGTCGGGAAAATCCTTACTTTAGAGGCAGATGCCAGTATATGATCTATGCGAAGCCGCGTGAATGATTGTCAAAGAGACATCTGATAGACCAATTGCACGGGAAGCTTCGCGCTGGTAAAGTACTCAAACATACGTACCACTTCAAACTGATGATGAATTGTAGGAATATAGATGAGATAAAAGACCCTCAAAAGTAGAGCATAAATCCTGCAAAGCTTCAGTTTAGTGACTTTTAACAAAGCAGTTTTGATCAGAATTGCTGCTCCCATTACCTCCCTTTCAGTTGCGATGAGACAACCAGAGTTGTCGTTGCCTTTCAAAAAATCCATTTAGACGAGAAAATTTGTACTGCCTGTATACAGAGCACTCATTAATTGGTGAGGGAAAGAGGACACAAATTTCCTAACTGAATTTGCGTTTACTGCTCTCTGCAAACGTCCTGGTAAAGCTTTTCTTGCGGCGTGATCAGAATGAGGTAATAGTTTTGAAAAACAACTTGCAGTCTAACTTCATGCTAAAAATTAAGGATTTGAACACTACTAGTGAGTGGTGCGTCTAAACAGTGTTGTTGAGCAGTAGTTAAAATACTTTGCATTTGCAAAAGTAACGCTTATTATAGTTGTAAATTAACGCTTATTATAGTCGCTTATAGACACTTAAAGACTGCGCATTAAATACCCTCCAAGCTTTGCAGCAGCAAAGGTATTATTTATCTACATTTTCTGAGCAATTATTGCAGTTATGGCAATCATAACTGCAGAATGGTTACTTGTACATTGGTTGGAAGCTAGAATGTTGGCAGAGTAATTTGATCTCTTTAATACCTAAGTTTAAAATAGGAGAAGCGGACCCAAGCAAGTTTTGGTCTATAGAGGCTCTTCTTAAGATTTTTGCACCATACAAAACGCGTTGAACTGAAGTATTCGCCGTTTAATTAAAATGTGAAAAAAAATGTTTTTTTACAAAATTTATTTCGGTTAGCGATGTTTCAATAACTATTTCTGTTACAGAATCTTTTCAAGCTTTGTTAAATTTGTAAAAAAATGCAAGATAAAGCTTTACTTTCGCGCTCTATCCTGTAATAAAAGTAAACCCCTCACAGTTATAATTCCCACAACCACTCCTTAAACATATGCACTTTGCTGGTTTTCATCTTCAATTGCTTCAAATCTCTTGAACAAGGATTTCATACTGATAACTGTTATCTACAAACAGTATGAAAAAGAACAGCATTATTTAGAGGAATCACTGTCATGAAGTAAACTGCAACAAAAAAGCAGAAGTTTCAAAGCATCACTTTTTTTTAAAATTGCCGATTGGTAAGTTGTATAGCGGTCATGCAGAAGAATACTCAGTCTTTTGGATTAAGTTGGTTGACGTTGCAGCAAAATTAGAAGTAGAATGATAGATGGCTACCACAGAAACTATTACCTGGAATACATCTTCTAAGTCCTGAATTCTGACCCCTAATGGTTTTCATTTTTGTACGTTTTTTCGTCGTTATTCCACGCTCACTCGCTCCTTCACTAATTCTTAAACCAATGTTATCAAATTTTTAAAGCAATTATTGATGAGAAGGTGAGACAGCATGGGCTTTTTTCTGGGTCAGTTTGTTTTTTTTT